TCTGAGTATCCAACATGTATGTTACCTCTAACTAGCCTCACAACAAACCCAAGATGCATCATGAGTTTGCTATGAGGGCAAGCTATTTGTCCAGTGAGTAGCAGATGTAGGAATGTGCTCCAACTTTCCTTCTCTTTCCAACATTCATCTACTCATTATTATTTAAATTAAATTTTAAATTAAAAATCATAAATTTAAAATAATTTTGCTGTGGTCTGAGGTGGGTAAAACACATATTGCTTTTATGTGTACAAGGAATGCTTAGGCCAATCCTCTTTCTAGTTCTTAATGCCTATATGGTATAGGTGAAAAATTAGAGTGGGCAAAGGACAAAGAATCAGAAGCCAGGGTTCTGATGCCATGGTGATGTCACTATCTGACCCTAGACAAGTCACTCAAGAGTGAGTCAATCCTCATTCAAGAATGTCCATCTTTAAAATGAGAGTGTTGGATTAGATTATCATTGAGGTTCCTGCTAGCTGTTTTTAAAAACAAAAAACAAATGAAACTTGCAATTTGTAGTGATTTACTTCAGGTGTCAGCTGGTGAGGGCCAGGATGTAGGGCTTGGTGGTCCTGGGAGGCCTAGGCTCCGTGCATTCTCAGTAAATGTATTAAGGGGTGGGGGAAGGGACCTGTCAATGTAGGTCAGCTTTATCTGGAACATTGGCAAGTATAAAAGCAACTACAATAGCCTTCAACCTTCCAGAAGCAGAGCTCCCACAGATTCTGACACAATAACTGATGATGAAGATGGTGTCTTTCAAAAGAGGAGCCATGAAAGAGCCTCATTCCAAAGGAAACCCTGTCCATCCCTACCCCATGTACACTCTGCCAGACAAAGTAGCCTATTTATAATGATTTTTAAGAGACTCTGCTACACTAAATAGTATTATTTAGGAGGTCTTTCATGGTCACCTCTATATCCCTAGCTTTTAGCATATAACTTGGCACTGAGTTGCCAATCAGTGTTTATAGAACGGATGGCAAAATTAATCTTCCCTGAGTATCCCAAACAAGTTGACATTTATGGCTCAGCTCAGATGCCATCTCTGTCTACCTCTCCCCCAAACTCCAATTATATTGTAATTTTCCTGTGGGGTACCCCTCATTTTCTATATTCTAATTATTTATGTATACTTTAGCTCTCCACTAAAGTCAAACTCTCTGAGGCAAAAGCTATCTCTTACCATTGAAACTTTATAATACCTAGCCCATAGTAGGCACATAATAAATGTGGAATGAACATTTACATAAATGCTATTTTATATTCATATATATGTATATACACACACACATACTCCAAAGCAATTAGCACAGTGCTTTACATAGACATTCAATGACCATTATTGAATAAATTAAATGCTCCTTCTGTTAAAGTTGTGGTGAAGCTAATACCCTAAAACTGTTTGTAAATTATTCCAAATCTTTGTAAAAAATAGTAAACTAGGGTAGCCCCTTTGAGTCCCCTCCCATACTGGGCACTTCTCTGTTCTCTCAATAAATCTTGCTTTCTAAAAAAAAAAAAAAAATAGTAAACTAGATTAAAAGTCATAAAAATGGTCATATCCTTGACAAATAATCCCACTTCTGGGATTTTGACCTTAGGAAATAGATAAACTGACACAAATCAAACCAAACCAACCAAAACAATAACAATAAAGTTTGTATTTAAAATGTAGTCAGCTTTTCTTTGGTGGTAAAATATTAAAAAATTTTACGAATTAAAGTATATATTATGGCACATTGATACACTATATTATTCTACCATTTTCTAATGATAGTGCTAGTGACCTGGGAAAGATGCTTGTGGCTAATGCTAAGTAAAATAAAAACTTCACACCCATTATGATGTTATGATATCCACTGTGGAAACATAGGAATACTTGTGAGAAAAGCAAATATACAAAAACATAAAAAAAGTTACTTTGATATAGTGCTGTTGTGGGTGATTTTCTCTCAAAAGTTTTAAAAAAATTTATTACATTATTTTATAATAAAAAGTTGGTATAGTCAACATTAACTTTTCTTTAATGTGGCCATATTTCCCACAGGCAGTTAAGTGAAGACCAAAGCATAAAATTGAATTGCCTACTAACAAGCTATTGAATCAGTATTGAACTCTAGGACTCAGGTGATACCTGAATTATGTCATAAAGTGTAAAATATAGACATGTTGTGTTTGGTGCAGAAACAGACTTGGATGAGAAGCAAGACGCAGACCCAGCAAAGGACTATCAGGAACCAAGAAAACTAGGAATATTACTTTCCCTCCGTACCTGTACTCATGCTCAAATCCACTCATGCTCAAGTCCCAGAATTGGCCCACCAGCCTTGGGGATATGAAAAGTCACCTTTTGTATCCAGAAGGTTTGCATCCTGCAAATACTGTATTTTTGGCCCTCATTTTGTTGTATATGCAGATCCCTCAGATACAAAGGGTTGACTATATTAATTGTGGAAAATCCATGTATAAGGGGACCCACCCAGTTCCTACCGATGTTGTTCAAGGGTCAACTGTACTTGTCCCTGAGAGTGCTAAATAAATAAGGCTGCAAGCCAGAAGGGATCTGATGAGAAAGGAGATGAATAAACAAGGCTGTATCTTTGGTTCTCCACCATCTCCTACCCCCTTACCATCCAATATCTAACAGGGATGTGCAAAGGATGACCTGCGGGCCAAGTGTAGCCCACTGTCTGTTTTTGTAAATAAAGTTTTATTAAACACAGCCAAGTTCATTCATTTATGTATTATCTTTGGCTCTTTCCCCACTACAATGAGTTGAACAGTTATGATAGAGGTATTTATAATTTGCAAAAATTTACTATTTGGCTCTTTACAAAAAAGACGCATTTGTCCTGTATCCCCAGATATAAGGAAATTTTATATAAAGAGACACACTACTTAGATATTGGGACTGCTTTCCTATTACTTTTTCTTCAAATATACCAGTCTAGAATCATATAATCATATAATTCATCATCCAATCTGAGACACCTTTGAGGGTGAAAGGGGGTACCCACTAGACTATACTCCAGGACAACAGAAGTAAACCAGGATTGTCCCAGACAGATATATGGGGCCAATGTTAGAAGGGCTAGCAGTACAAGATCAGTTTCCAAAGGGCACTCATGGACTGTTCCTATATGTACACAGGCAGCTTAGGTGGCTTCTCAGTTCTTCCTAGTTTGATTGCCTTCCTCTGCCCTCTGTCCCAGCTCTGCTCTCGAGCTTGCCCTGGCCCCTGAAGACACCCTGAAGGCACCATACATGGTACCATACCTCTACTCACATTGAAGCAAAAGGGGACAAGTTTGCTCATCTCATTTAAATAAATGAATACACCTTAATTATTCCAAATTAATTTGGAATCAGAATTTTATATCTGCATATTTCACTTGGTTTACACCAGGCCACATCTTAGTATTCCATTTTTCTTTAGTAGAATAATTTAAAATTTATCTTCTCAAATAGTTTGTTTTTTAAAAAAATGGTCACCCATCATAGCATTTATCACAGTGATACCTCAAAAACAAATATGGCATATTATCCATTGATTTGAACTTTTAATACTCGCCAATACTGTTTGGAGAATTATTACTGATGAATAAGGCTTCTAATTTTATCATTCCAGAATTTAAAACAAAAGAAGAAAACACATATACCCACACATTGTTTTTTAAGTAAAAAATTTTGATGCTATGGGGAAAAAGGAGTAAAACAGAAGACGCTTAGAGCATCTTTGATGAAATCTAGGGTGTTATACTTTGTGACTATTCTCTGTGTGAACAGTAACAGCTCACAGCCTTGAAGCCTTTCTGAATGGCTTTCTAAATATTGCCATCTGGTGGAATTTCAGTTAATTGTCCCTTTGTTCTAGACAGCTCCTGGAGCCCTGAACCTTGAAGGCATTAGACAGAGAGAATTAGAGTACCAGTGGGACATAGCTGAAGGTCAAAATGATTGTTGCTTCAAGACAAATCCCACACTGAAAATAAGGAGGATTTCTAGGCTCTGCATCTCTGCCACTGGATCTCTTTCTGTCTTCGGTAAAGCAGACACGACAGTTGCATTGATTTTTAATAATACCAAATAAAAATCATCAATTCACAAAAAATTAGAAATGTCATGAGATCATTTGAGCACATCTTGATATTCTTCCTTACCACTTATCACCAATAAGATCTCCAAAATTAACCTTTAATAGGCTTGAGCACTTTTAGAGGAATTGCAAATAGCAAGCAGTTCATTAGCCCTTTGTACAATTGGGAAATGAAATATACCGGGGTGCCAAAAAAAAGTCATTTAAAGAGATGTTATCTATGTATGACTTTTCAAAGTTGAATTGAATCAAGGCAGCAATGTGTAGTATGAAGCTTGCTCAAAAGATGGCATTAATCAAATGAATGCTAGCATCACCACGCAACAGACAGGACAGTGAAAGAAAATGGTGGAAATACAGTTGTCACTCGAGGAGTGCAAGACCATTTGGAAGTGATATTTGAAATTTGAGAATGTTGTAAAAGTACAATGACAATGCAGGCATTGAATATGCAACAGAACCTCCAACATTTGTGATAAGCTTGAGATGCATGGTTCTGTGTGTGTGAGGTGGACAAGGGAAAATCTGGGGGGCCTCACATAGCAACAAGTCCTGCAGTAATTCGCCATTATCAGAAGTGTCTGGATGCTGATGGTAACCACTTTGAGCACCTCTTGTAATTGCAGAAATCAAATGTGATTTGTATTCATCTTTTGTTATTATTATATACTGAGTATTACAATTTGAATAGTTTTTTCCTTTCTTAAAATGTGTATACATTTTTGGCACCCTCTGTAGTTTGAAAAATAGTATTTTAATAAAGAATATTTATTCAAATATTGGTTTTAGTTGTATAGGGATTTTGAAAATAAACTTGTTACAAAGGCAGTAATACTACTCACCTTAATTTAGTCTGTAAACAAGGAGTCTTGAAACATAGTTTATATTTAAACCTTACCTTGAGCATCCAGGCTCTCTCCCTGGCTTTCTAAGTGAACTGTTCCTTTGGGAAATGGGACACTGGAATAGTAAAAATAGAAAAAAAGAAAAAGCACTTAATATGATAAAAACATGGGAGCAAAGAGTTATAGTATAGTTCATCAGGCATGACTAGCAATGGGGAAACAAATTAGAGAAAAAACACAGCATATATCCAAAGTCAGTTGATTTTTATCACATGAAAGTGATTTGTCAGCCAGACAACAATAGAATCATGCTCTTGATCTATTTTACTAGATCCATTCTTAGGTTGATTTATTAACCATCTGTGAAAATTGAGTATCATGTCAGTCCCATGAAAATAATTTTTCTTTTACCTTTTCCTTTCCCTGATAATCTGATGTGGTGGGAATCATATCAGCAGATAATTCCAAGAAGCAGTGCCTCTAGTGGGGTACCAAATGCCAACAGCAATTAAAGTACTGACTTCCTCAAACTTGAGTTTATTTGCAGGGTTTCTATCTAGTATCAGCACAGGCTTATTCTAGTCAGAAAGATTTATAAGCAACACCAGGAACAAATTTTGAAAAAAACACACCATCACACAGTAATTTACTTTCTTTATATGAATGATCTATTTCTTTTCAAAACAGACTTTAACTAAATGATAAAACAATGCACTGATGAGGACAGATCCTAATCTGGAGTCCGAGACATACATGAGCTCTAGGCTCTAAGGGTCAGATGTTGGGGGGATGGATGGTACCGGGGAGGTAGCTAAGGTTCAACCAGGTGCTGCTAAAAAATGACCTGACACACATCTATGCATGAGCCCTAACCCTCTTCACCACCACCTCAAGGCACAAACCTAGAAATAACCCCTTTCCCTCCTTCCACCTAATCCCACATTACTCTTCTGTGGTTTCTGTCTATGATCATTTCAGAAATGCCTTTGGTGTGTATTTAGTTTAAAATCACTTTCACAAAAATAAAAGATCTATGGCAGATCCAATACTATGTGATTAACCCCAGACATAGTTCTAGAGATGTCACTGGGAGAATTTTTAATTTTTTTTTAATAAAGAGGAAAGGGTAGGCATTTTCACTTTTTCTATAAGGGAAAAGAAGGTTTTTTTTGTTTGTTTGTTTTGAGTTGCAGTCTCACTCTGTCGCCCAGACTGGAGTGCAGTGGCCGCTCCCGGCCACTGCAGCCTCGACCTGCTGGGCTCCGGTGATCCTTCCGCCTCAGCCTTCCGAGTAGCCGGAATTACAGGCACGAGCCACTACGCCCGGCTGATTTTTGATTTTTATTGTAGAGATGAGGTCTCGCCAAGATGCTCAGGAGGGTCTTGAACCCGTGGGTTCAGGCAATCTACTCACCTCGAGTTTTTTTTTTTTTTAAGTCAAAATCAAAATGGTAAACATTGAGAGAATAAATGTAAAGGTGACAGCTGAATTGTTAATGTTATACTACCATATTTAATGAAGGAGCACAAAAGTAATTCATAAACTTCAGCTTGTTTAAAAATCAGAAAATTTAATATGAATGATGTCAAGAACTGAATTTGGTAAAGTGACTATAATTAAAATTTTTCCTTCAGGCCAAGTGCTGTGACTCATGCCTATAATCCCAGTACTTTGGGAAGCAGAGGCAAGAGGACTGCCTGAGCCCAGGGGTCAAGGCCAACCTAGGTAACATGAGTAGACCTCATCTCTACAATAAATAAAAAAATTTAGCCAGGTATGGTGGCATAAGCCTGTAGTTCCAGCTACTTGGAAGACTGAGGTGGAAGGATCACCTGAGCTCAGCAGGTCAAGAATGTAGTAGTCATGAGCATGCCATTATACTCCAGTCTGGGTGACAGAGTAAGACTCTGATTAAATAAATAAATAAGTAAACAAATATTTTTTTCTTCAGATAAAACAGGTAGAATTTATTTACATATTTTCTAGCAGAATTTACTTTTATGGGAATGTTATATCCTTCCATAATTTAGAGATAGTTGACAAACCTAAAAAATGAAATAAAAAAAAAATACTGGTTCACAACAATGCCCCTTCCTTCCTTCCTTCCTTCCTTCCTTCCTTCCTTCCTTCCTTCCTTCCTCCCTCCCTCCCTCCCTTCCTTTCTTCCTTCCTTCCCAGTCAGATCTCACTCTGCTGTCCAGGCTGGAGTGCAGTGGCATGATCACAGCTCACTGCAGCCTTGACCTCCAGGGCTCAGGCATTCATTCTGGCTTAGCCTTCTAAGTAACTGAGACTACAGGTGCGGGCCACCATGCCTGGAAATTTTTTTTTTTGTAGAGAGGAGATCTTGTTACGTTGTCTAGGCTGGTCTCAAGCTCCTGGGCTCAAGCAATGCTTCCACTTTGGCCTCCCAAGTGCTGGAATTACAGGTGTGAGCCACTCCACTCAGCCAGTTTCTATTAAGTCCTCCAATCTTCTAGAAATTTAATGAGATCAGAATAAAATCTTCATTTGTTTACTTTATTAACTAACACCCAGTAATTAAACAAGTATTGGCTATCAAGCTAGGAAGCATGAACGTAAGGTTTCTAGTTTATCTATACACCAGATAATTAGCACTTAGAAAATTCAGGATTGTCCACATACAATTGGCCTTTTTCTGTTTTCTGACAATAGCCTAGTGCTAATTTTTCAGCAGCTGCAATTAATCAGTTTTGAGTGGAATGAGATCATTTACTGAACATCTGATGCACCATCATTTTACATATGTTTATCTAATATAATCCTCAAAACCCATATTATTACAGACGAAGAAACTGAGGCTCACAATAGTGAAACAATTTGCCCTAATATCATGCAGATAGAAAGTGACAGATTTTAACTGAGCCTGACAGACTCTGTATCTCCTCTCTCTTTCATCTACACTATGACACTTTAAAAGCCAGTCCTCTGACATAGATTGGAAATACTTGGAGAGCTTTTGCTCCACTCCTATTATAAGTCGAAGACCTGGCCATTAATTAGTAACTGCTCAGTAAAGAACAGCCTTGCAAGAGTAGAATTCTAACCACTCTACACTAGCCTCTCTATGCCTTTGTTGGGGGGGGAGGTAGAGGTGAAACAACAATTTTCTCCTGTGGTATTTGGCAGGAGTAGAGTTGTTATCATCTGTATGCCTCATACTTTGTTTAAAAATTAACGCTGGCCTGGTGTGGTAGCTACTCCTGTAATCCCAGCAACCTGGGACACCAAGGCGGGAGGATCAGTTGAGCCCAGTAGTTCAAGACTAGCCTGGGCAACATAGCCAGACTTTGTCTTTGCAACAACTACAACAACAACAACAACAACAACAACAAAATAGCTGGGCATGGTAGGGCACCTGTAGTACCAGCTACTTGGGAGACTGAGGTGGAAGAATTGCTTGAGCCCAGGAGGTCAAGACTGTGATAAGCTGTGATTGTGCCACTGCACTTTAGCCTGGGTGACAGTGAGACTCCAACTCAAAAGAAAGAAAGAAAGAAGAAAACCCCCAAAATTTAAAATGGATCATGGCATAAATGCAAAACACAACTTTGTGGGTGGAGGGACAAGAGACAATCTTTAGGATCAGGGCCTGGCAAAGTTGTCTTAGCCTCTACACCAAAAATACAATCTGTAAGAGGAAAAACTGACAAATTGGACTTCACTAAAATTAAAAAACTTCACTAGGTAAATGAAAATTAAAACTACAATGAGACATCACTATGTACCTATCAGAATGGGTAAAACAAAAATAATGACAACACCAGATGCTGGTGAGAATTCGAAGGAACTAAATCATTCTTATGTTGCTTGTGAGAATGTAAAATGGTACAGTTACTCTGGAAAGCAGTTTGGTAGGTTTTTTTGAAAACGAAACATACAAGTGTCATGCAGTCCAGCAATTTTACTCTTTGGCATTTATTCCAGGAAAATTAAAACATATGTTTATGGCATCTTTAAATACAGTAGCCCCTAACTAGAAACAACCCAGGTGTCTTTCAACAGGTTAATGGTTAAACAAACTGTGGTACATACAAACTATGAAATACTATTTAGCAATAAAAAGGAACCAACCATTGATACAAGCAACAATCTGGATGAATCTCCAGAGAATTAAGCTGAGTGGAAAAGGTTCACTTCCAAAGGTAATATACTGTATGATGCCATTTTCTTACATTCTTGAATTGAGAAACCTATAGAAATGAAGCTCAGATTAGTGCTTGCCAGGGATTAAGGAGGAAGTTAGGGCTGGAAGGAAGTAAGTGTGGTTATAAAAGGACAACACAAATATTCTTGTGGTGATGGAAATGTTCTGAACTGTAATTGCATTAATGTCAATATCTACAGGTTTGCAAAATGTTACCATAAAAGACTGAATAAAAGATACATGGGATCTCTCTATACTATTTCTTACAACACGTTAATGTACAATTATCTCAAAGTAAAGTTTTAAAAAACCCCAGGAGATTGGACAGTAGCTAGAATTGAGCAAGAAGCCTCACTTTTATTTTCTTACCTTTTCAGACAGAAGCAAAAGTTCCAAGGCAGTGGGCAAGAATTTGCTCCATTTTGCACAGCTCCAAGAAAAAATAACACACTCACGATCTTAGCATTCAGAAACTTACTGCCAATGTGTTGCTGTCCAATCTTAGAATTTTCTCTGCTGTTATCTCCTTTCTATCCCCCTTTACCTTCCCAGTCCATTAAAATTCAAAATATTCAAAGCTAGAAGTGAGTTTGGAGTAGTAGTTTGATATACCCTGCAAGTCTGAGCTTACATCTTACATCCTCAAGTTCATACTATCCAGGAATTTCCAAAATGTTCCAATATTCCGACATCTTACTTGCACAGGAGTGACATTTTTCAAAATTTAATTTTTTTTTTTTTTAAGAGACAAGATCTTACTATGATGTGCAGGATGGAGCATGGTAGCTATTCACAGGTGTGATCACAACTCACTGCAGTCTCCCAACCACTGGCACCACGGGATTCTCCCACCCCAGCCTCTGAAGTAACTGGCACTACAGGCATGCACCACTGTGCCTGGTATGGAAGGGAATTTTATACTTTGTGTTTGTGTGTGTGTGTGTGT